ACACACACACACACACACACACACACACACACACACACGGCCCAGAGTTCAGGCCCCATGACACACACACACACACACACAAAAGTTTAAGCTGCAGGACCAGCATATACACATAAACACACACAAAAATAACATATAACAATCATCATATGCTTTTCCCCCATAGATTTAAATGTCTTTTTTCAATGTATTATCATTTATACCTGGTCAATGACTTCAATTTCATGTTCTTTATTTTTCATTTCAAGAGCAAATTGTTCCTTGATAATAGTCTCAATCTTCTGGACAGCAGCATCTCGAGCTACATAAGAAATATAAAGTATGTCCAAGCCCAATTCAGTAGTTGTCTTGATTTGGTCAACAAGCAACAGAAACAAGAACAAAGCACTGAGAGGACTATTGTATCACTGTGTGACATTCCTGTAAAAATGATGGATCTAATCACAATGAAACATCAGACAAAACCAAACCAAAGACATTCTACAGAAATAATTGGCCTGTATCATTCATTTAGTCAAGTCAAAAAAGACCAAGAAGAGTTTGAGGAAACTGAAAAGAAACTGAAGAGATATGACAACTAAATTCTCAGTGTGACCTCAATAAATTCTGAAAGAGAAAAATCTGGTTGTAAAATACATGCCTGGGACAACTTGTCACATAATATAACAATGTTAAAATGTCTTGGTTTGGGGGCTGGGAACATGCATTAGTGGTAGAGTGCTTGCCTAGCATTCATGAAGGCCTGGGTTCAATTCCTCAATACCACATAAACAGAAAAAGCCAGAAGTGGTGCTGTTTCACAAGGGGTAGAGTGCTAGCCTTGAGCTAAAGAAGCTCACGGACAATGCTCAGACCCTGAGTTCAAGCCTCAGGACTGGCAAAAAAAAGTTAAGTTTTGATCACTGTATTGTGGTTATATAAAAGAATGCTCTGAAGTAATATGTCTAAGATGGGTGCTGATGGCTCATGCCTGTAATCCTAGCTACTCAAGAAGATCTAAGGATCACAGTTCAAAGTCAGCACAAGCAGGAAAGTCCAAGAAACTCATCTCCAAATAAACACCAAAAAGATAAATAAATAAAAAAACCAAACCAGAAATAGAGCTGTGACTCAAGTGGTAGAGCACTAGCTTTGAGCAAAAAAGCTCAAGGACAGTGCCCAGGCCCTGAGTTCAAGCTCTAGGACCAGCACTAAAAAGAAAAAAAAAAAAGAAAAGAAAAAAAGATATGTCTAACTTTTTTCCCAAATAAATCTAGTATAGATCTTAAATGTCCCCTAAATGCCATGTGCTAAAAGTATGGTCCTCAGCTGATGAAGCAATTGAGGTAGTGGAAACTCCAGAAGTGGCCTACTAGAAGGAAGTAGCTCACTGGGTATGAAGGGAACATTTTTCCCTAGCTCTATGGTTGGCCTGCTGATTCTCCAAGCTCTGGTTCCTGGCTGCCATTTAGTGAGCAGCCTCCTCTATTATACTACCAGACATTCTACCAATCTGAGGATCAAAGTAAGGGAGACATGGCTTGGACTGAAACCATGAATCTAAATAAATCCAGGTGCTGGTGGCTCCCACTTGTACTCCTACTCAAGAGGCTGAGATCTGAGGATCACAGTTCAAAGCCAGCCTGGGCAGGAAAGTTGGTAAGATTTTTTTCTTTTGCTGGTCCAAAGGCTTGATTTTAGAGCCTGGGTACTATCCTGGAGCTTCTTTTGCTAAAGGCTAGTACACTACAACTTAAGCCACAATGCCACTTCTGGCATTTTCTCTGATTTAACTCGAGATGAGTCTCACAGACTTTCTAGCACGTGCTGGCTTCAAATCGAAATCCTCAGATCTCAGCCTCCTGCATAGCTAGGATTACAAGCGTAAGCCACTTATCTCCAATAAACTACACACAAAATTCCAGAAGCAGCACTGTGGTTCAAGCAGTAGAGCACTAGTCTTGAACCTGACAAGTTACGATACAGCACCCAGGCCCCTGTGTTCAAGCCCTAGGACTGGCAAAATAAATAAATAAATATTTCCTTCTTTCATTGACTTCTCAGGCATTTCATCAGTGATAGAAGACTGGCTAACACACATGTAAAAATTTGATTAAATTTAAATTTTAGTCTTTAAAAATTAGTTAGTTTATTTTAATATAGTAAGTCACAAAACAAGTCTGATGAAACTGTTTCTATGCACATTAAAATAACATGCAATCATTAAAATAGCCTTTATATATGTATCACCCATAATCACCTCACATGATTATCCATTATAGTCCAAATATCTTAAAAGACTATAATACAAGAACATGCAAAAATAGCTAAAACTTAAGTCTGTTTCATTACTACCACTTTCACACTCTACTTGATGTGTTTCTACCAAGTTTTCTAGTGGTTTACTGGAGATAAGAATCTCACAACTTTCCTGCCCAGGCTGGCTTTGAACTGTAATCCTCAGAACCAGATCTGCCCATTTTTTGGGGGTGGGGGGGTGTATGGGTGGGGGGAGGGGTCCAGTCGTGGGGCCTGAACTCAGGGCCTGAGCGCTGTCCCTGAGCTCTTCAGCTCAAGACTAGTGCTCTACCACTTGAGCCACAGCGCCATTTCTGGTTTTTTTTCTTTTTGCTTATGTGGTGCTGAGGAATCGAACCCAGGGCCTCATGCATGCAAGACAAGAGCTCTACCACTGAGCCACCTTCTCAGCCCCCCAGATCTGCCTTTTATACAACCATTATGTACTTTTTTTTGGTCACTTATGGGGCTTGAGCTCTGGGCCTGGGCGCTGTCCCTCAGCTCTGCAGCTCAAGGCTAGCACTTTACCACTTGAGCTACAGTGCCACTTCCGGTTTTTTGATGGTTAATTGGAGATACGAGTAAAGGCCTGCCCAGGTTAGCTTTGAACCTCGATCCTCAGATCTCAGCCTGCTGAATAGCTAGGATTAAGGTATGAGCCACCAGCGCCTGGCATTATGTACTATTATACGAAATACTTAACAACTCCCTCTTACAACCTCCTCTGAATTATATACACAGATGTGGAAATTAATTTCATTTCTTAAGAGTGAAGGTAAATGTAAACTAAGAAATAATTTCCTAAGGCAAGTCAATTTTTATTATTATTAGTAAGTAGTTGTACTAAGGGACAATGAAGACAATGCTTCTTGATCTATGTCATCCCTTCCTTCATTCTCCCCCTTCAAGTGACATAGTTCTTTTTTTTTTTAATTGTGAAAATACCATACAAAGGGGTTACAATTACATGGGCAAGATAATGAGTACATTTCTTATCAAGCATTGTTGCCTCCTCCTTTGTTTCCTCTTCCCATCCCTTTCCATCTCCCCCCCACCCCACCCGTCATAGTTCATTTTTTATACCATGTATTTTGGGTTAGTCAATTTCTACCTGAATTCTCAATTGCTTTTTGTCGCTTATTTGGAAGGGCCACAGCTATATCTTCATAATCAGGGTCAGTTTCTTTAATTGTTCTCTTGATTCCGGACATGGTGATATTCAGTTCTTCACTGTAAAACAGTAAGTTAACAAATAAGTAACATTATGCACATAGGTAAATGCTATATAATACATAAAAGTTGATGTAGCCAGGTGCTGGTGGCTCATGCTTATAATAAGGCTGAGATCTGAGAATCCAGGTTCTAAGTCAACCTAAGCAGAAAAATTCATTAGACTCTTATCTCCAACTAAAAAGCAAGAAGCCAGAAGTAAAGATATAGTTCAAGGCATCAGCCTTGAGAAAAAAAGCTAAGCAAGAGCCGGGCACCGGTGGTTCACGCCACCTAGCTACTCAGGAGGCTGAGATTTGAGGATTCTGGTTCAAAAGCAAGCCCGGGCAGGAAAGTCAGTGAGACTCTTGTCTCCAATTAACCACCAGAAAACCAGAAGTGGTGCTGTGGCTCAAGTGGTAGAATGCTAGCTTTGAACTGAAGAGCTCAGGGACAGTACCCAGGCCTAGAGTTCAAGCCCTACAACTAACACACACATAAAAAAGCTAAGCAAGGGAGCAAAGCCCTGAGTTCAAGTTTCACTACTGGCACACACATACACAAGGAAAGTTGCTAAATAAAGAAAAATGGCTGAGTATGGCGACTCAAGCCTATAATCCTAGCTACTTGGAAGAATAATGTTCAAGACCAGCTCAGGCAAAAAACAAGTTCTTGAGACTATCTCAACCAATATCTGGGGGCAGTGACAGAACACTTGATATCCTAGCTGTGGGCAAGACAATGGCTAGGGGAATGGTATGAGTCTGTCATCCCAGCAATAGGAGAAGCATAAGATCACAGCCTGGGAAAGCAAGAGCATGAGTGAAATCTTACCTTGAAAATCACCAGTTCTACTGGGTGGTAAGAGCACCTGCCTAGCAAGTTTGGGGCTGAGTTCAATTTCCAGTACCACCAAAACAGAAACAACCCAACAAACAAACCACAGACAACTGTGTTTAGTCCATCTTAGAGATATATATGAGCACTTGATATGGGTGGGGTGATTCATTATGGAATGGTAGCTATGTAAAGCCTAGATCCAAGAGAACATTTTTTTCTCTGTTGTATTGTGTAACATCACTATGCTTCATGCATTTGTAACTATCCTAGCAATTTATTAAATGTTAGTTGATAATCATGAGTCAATTGCTATAATTTGGAAAATAAATATTTTTGGAGCACCCTAGAATCTAATTACTATCTTTGTAAAGTTAATTAAAAAAAAAAGGCAGTTTTGTTTCTTCTTTGTTCTGTAATTGAACAGAGAAAAACTCTGGTAGTTATATAAGCCTTACTCCTTCCTGAGTGCAGACGGGACACTGGTGGCTCACGCCTGTAATCCTAGCTACTCAAGAGGCTGAGATCTGAGGATCGAGGTTCAAAGCCAGTCTGGGCAGGAACGTCTGTGAGACTCTTATGTCCAATAAACCACTAGAAAACTGGATGTGGTGCCGTGGCTTAAGCGGTAGAGCACTCGCCTTGAGCTGAAGAGCGCAGGGACAGCACCCAAGCCCAGAGTTCAAGCCCCACAACTGACGCAAGAAAAAAAAAAAAAAACCCAAACCAAAATCCTCTACCTTCTACTCACAAATAAATCTCAAAACAGAGGTCAGACAATTCACCAAAGTGCTTCCTCAGTGGCCAAAAGTCTTATAGAACGTATGGTATTTTATAGGATTATCTGTAAAGCAGAGGCCACCAAGTCAAGCATCATCCTCACTCATCTATAAAACTCATGATGTGTTGGAGCTGGGAATATGGCTTAATGGTAGAGTGCTTACATAGCATGCATAAAGCCCAAGGTTCAATTCCTCAGTACCATATAAACAGAAAAAGCTGGAAATGGTGCTGTGGCTCAAGTGGTAGAGTGCTAGCCTTGAGCAAAAGAAGCTCAGAGACAGTGCCCTGGCCCAGAGTCTGCAAAAAAAAAAAAAGCTTAAGGAAGATTCTGCTCTGAACATTCTTAAATAAACCAGGTTTGCTGCTATCTAGCAAAAACAATAAATACTAAACTACACACATGCCACATTTAAGTAAATTCTAGCTAAAGCCAGGCACATCTGCTGAGGCAGGCTCTCACAAATGACCCAGGATTAAATTACATTCAGGATTCTTCTTGCCTGGCTTTTAGATTTATGAAAAGGAAATGTGAGCAGCTGTTGGAAATTGTCAACTCAACTTTGAAACAAAATGTCCTAATGCTCTTCAGGTTTTGAACTTGTGATGGTGATGTGAACTATTTTTTTTTTAATCTGTTACTCTCACAATCTGTGAGAACAGATTTTCTCTATATTACTGGACCAAAACCAAATACGTGGATGGAAATCAAATAAATAATTTTTCAGGGCTAAGACTATTACTGTATCTATTCCTCCAACTTAAAATTTCTACCTCATCAAAACGGCCTATTATAAAACTCAAATATTGTCCATTCAACACAGAAAATGCTTTTTTCCCACAGCCAACACATGGGGGGGGGGTTCAGTCGTGGGGCTTGAACTCTGGGCCTGGGCACTGTCCCTCAGCTCTTCAGGTCAAGGCTAGTGCTTTATCACTTGAGTCACGGCGCCACTTCTGGCTTTTTTCTTTTTGCTTATGTGGTGCTGAGGAATTGAACCAGGGCCTCATGCATGCAAGGCAAGCACTCTACCACTGAGTAACTTTCCCAGCCCCGAAAATGAAAGCTTTTAAGTAAGTGTACCAGTCCCATTCAAACATCATAAGCAGGTACAAGTTGTTAAGAAAGGCTTAAGACCAAAACCACAGAAAAACTTTTAATGTTCTTTTTTTTTTTTTTTTTTAATTTTTTTTTGGTCCGGTTGTGGGGCCTGAACTCTGGGCCTGGGCACTGTCCCTCAGCTCTTCAGCTCAAGGCTAGTGCTCTACCACTTGAGCCACAGCGCCACTTCCGGCTTTTTTCTTTTTGCTTATGTGGTGCTGAGGAATCGAACTCAGGGCCTTGAGCATGCAAGGCAAGCGCTCTACCACTGAGCCACCTTCCCAGCCCACTTTTAATGTTCTATACTTTGAAATACATTCGCTCACAACATGAACTGAGCACTGATGGCTCACACCTGTTATCCCAGCTAAAGGCTGAGGCCTAAGGATTCAAGCTAGGTTGGGCAGAAAACAAAAAAAATCTTTGAGAGCCATCTCCAATTAACCAGCAGAGAGCTGGGCTGAAAGCATGGCTTAAGTAATAGAGGGCCAGAAATGAGCAAGAAAGATGAACAAGAGCACAGCCCTTACCCCCCCCCCCAAAAAGAAGAGCCAAATCATAACATGCACCATGGTATTTTTGCATGGACATGTTTTCATTTCTCTTGGGTACATATTTTAGGGATGGGATTGCGAGATCATATGGGAATTCTGTGTTTAACTTTTTGAGAAGTTGCCAAACATTTCACAACAGCTGTACCATTTTATATTCTTACAATGTTATGTATTCTGTGGATGAGGAAGGGGGTCCTAGAACTTGAACTAGGTGCTGTCCTTGAGGGTTTTTTTTTTTAATTTGTTTTTTTGTTTTGGCTCAAGGTTAGTGTGCTTAAGCCATAGCTTAGGTTTTTGAGCATACACTTCTACTTTTTGTGGTACTTAGTTGGAGATAAAGAGTCAGCACTGGTGTCTCATAATCCTAGCTACTCAGGAGGCTGAGACTCGAGGCTTGCAGTTCAAAGCCAGCCAGGGCAGAAAAGCTTGTGAAACTATTATCTCTACTCAGAAAAAGCTGAAAGCGGCACTGTGGATCAAGTGGTAGAGTGTTAGCCTTGAGCAAAAGAAGCTCAGGGACAGTGCCTAGGCAGAGTTCAAGCCCCAGTACTGGCAAAAGTAAATAAATAAATAAATTTGGAAAAAAAAAAAAAAAGGTCTCACAAACTTTCAAACCATGATCCTCAGACCTCAGCCTTCTAAGTAGCTAGAATTAAATGTATGAGCCACCAATACTGGCTCCCATTGTGTATTCTTTCAGTTGTTGTTGGTCATGGGGCTTGAACTCAGAGCCTGGGTGCTGCTGCTAAACTCTTTTTAGCTCAATGTTAGTTCTCTACCACTTTGAGCCACAACGTCCCTTCTGGTTTTCTGGTGGCTAATTGGAGGTAAGAGTCTCATGGACTTTCCTTGTCCAAGCTGGTTTTGAACTGTGATCCTCAGATCTCAACCTCCTGAGTGGCTAGAATTATAGGCATAAGCCACTGGCACCCAGCTCTTATTGCATATTCTTGACATACATTTGGCCAGATTATTTGGTCATAGTGTATATGTGGGTGTTTTTTTATTTGTTTTGTTGTCAGTCATGGGGCCTGAACTCTGGGCCTGGGCACTGTCCCTCAAGGCTAGTGCTCTACCACCTGAGCCATAGCATCACTTCTGGCTTTTTCTGCTTATGTGGTGCTGAGGAATCGAACCCAGGGCCTCATGCATGCAAGGCAAGCACTCTTCCACTGAGCAACCTTCCCAGACCCTGGTTGGTTGTTTTCAGACAGGTCTTGCCTCAAACTCGTGGTCCTCAACTTACCAAGCGCTAGAATTTGTAAGTGAATACCACCATGCTCACCTGTGTATATATTTTTAAACTGCTTTATTGTGATATACTGAGATATTACCAACTATACCTATATATAACATAATAATAGTCAATTTTGCTGTAAGAAAATGGATTTCTAAGCAACATATATTTGGGAACTACCTGAGCATAATGTACATTTCACATTTGTCTTTGCATGGTTTCATCTGCAAGACACACTAGGTGAATACAGAAAAGTGTATACCCTGCTGAGTGAGTGCTCTACCACTTGAACCATGCCCCTCAGTCCTTTTCTTTGCTTTAGTTTTCAGGTAGTTTCTCATGGTTTTACCCGAGGCCAGCCTCATACTTCCAGCCTCCTATGGCATCCCAAGTAGCTGTAACCACAAGTACACCACTACACTGGGCTGTCTGAGAATGAGGGTCTCACTGACCAACCTTGAGCCTTAATCTTCCCTATCTTTACCGCTGAAGTAGCTGGGATTATAGTGTT